CAGAGGTGTTCATGCCAACATGTTGGCTTCACTGACACAATTGTTGTAGGACCGTTGGAAACCACCACAATCTCAGAAAGGTAGCCGCTCGAGTTCGGAAATGACAAGTAACGAATAATTTCGTAGTGAACGGTGCGTCCAGAAAATCGGACATTAGGTGCAGGGAAAAGATGATGCTGCCGATGTGGAATTGCATCAGAAAAGAAGCTTCACACGATGATACCCCACATGCACCACTACAGTTTTTAAGAAAGGTTTCAGTTACGGGATTCACAACCTGGAAGACCCTCCCCGTGTAAGCCCAGGTGTCCAACAAGCAACACTCACCAGTTCTTGAATATCACCAGGATAGCTGTCCTTACGATGACCATAAGGATGGATCCAAATCTGCGAATAAGTATGGAGAGTGATGAAGGCGTCAACACGGCCTCGATAACGTCGTGACATGATTGCATCACGTATTGCCCTTAACAGTAAAAAATTAAAGCTTTATGCATCCTTTTTCGGAGTACGCTGCGTTCTACTTCTATTCGGGATCGGTGGCATCCACATTTGGATTATGTAACGAGTCGTAGGGATCAGTCAGTGTATGTGTAGGTTACCTAACCTCTCAGGGGTCTCTCACGAATTGCGAGACCCTGAAGGGACGGGAACCTCGGGAGGCCCAAGTAATTCAAAATATACTTCCTATTATTGCCCCAGGAAGGATAAATCTTCTTCAAGGACGGATACGTAGTCAAGAATCAGGGCAGCATCTGTGCGTTTGGCCTATAACGTGACTTGTGGGAGTCCGTTGATGTAATGGAAGATATTTTTGACGCGAGCGTTTTAGCTCCTACTACAATATTTACGCTCAGTGGGATATCAAAACTTCTGAAGGCAATGTTTTGACTAAATTCCTCGCCACAGTGAGATTTAGATCAAGAAGAGGTCTGGATTTTGCGCTAACGCGACTTGGTCAGGCGGCCGGTTCCAGGAGTTCACAAAACAGCAGGGGTTGATTTCTCTGGCGAATTGAGCGAAAAAATCGCCACCTGTTATCCTTACACTATCATTCTCTGACTTTATGAACAAGTAAATAGGTGATTATACAAGTCATCAAGGTGGAAAATAAGGCTTCGTTCATACTATGCGGCAGCGTCCACCAGCGACCATCAGTGATTCGCGAGCATCCATCAGCCTCAGTGACTAGGAATGCATAAATATTGATCTAGCGAACGGCACTTTCTACCAGCGTCCATCAGCGTCCACCAGCGTCCGCCAGCGACCATCAGCGTCTCGAAGGACTAGGAAAGTATGGATATCGATCTAGCGTCTACCAGCGTCTACCAGCGACCACCAGCGTTCAGGAGTGCGGTAGTGTGTAGAAGTATTATGAGCTTGCACACATCACAATTTCACAACGCCCTAATCCAACTGTCTCCTTCCTCCCACTTCCCATTTTCTACCAGCTTTCTCTCTACTCCTCCTTCCTACTACCCATTCTCCCTCTCACCTTCTTGGTCGCTGCGCAAGACGCTTTGAGGCTAGCATGCTACAGTCGATATTCATGCTTTCCTGGCCTCTGAGACGCTGAAGTTCGCTGAGGAAAGCTGGTGGTCGCCGGTGGGTGCTGGTAGGCTGGCAGACGCTGTCGTTTGCTAGTTCGATATCTACACTTTCCCAGTCGCTGACGGAACGCTGATGGTCGCTGGTGGACGCTGGTGGTCACTGGTGGACGCTGCCGCAAAGTATGAACGCAGCCTAAGCGAGTACTATATGGGGGGGGGGAGTTGGTGTAGTGGTATTCTCTACACGGAGCTATAAAGGACGCTGGCAATGTGGGCGAAGACTATCAACTCTATCTACTGGTAACTATAAGACGTGCATCAAAGAAAAACGCTCTGTGGTAGGTCTGACCTTTCCTATACTATCTGTATGGATTGTGGCTTCTACCATAAGGAGATACATAGTATTCCGGACCAGCCAAGCGCATGAAAATGGGAAAACTTCTAATTTCTGTTCTGAAGGAACTAATCGATCAAAGCTTAGTAACTGCTCACTTTGTTTCCGGTTCACTGAAAGCACCGGTGCCCTGGTAGATTTCTGAACATGGATCGTCACTTGAGCCGCTTTCTGCAACAAATCACATAAATACTCTGACTTGACATTAACATTCCTATCCAAAAGTGTACATCCCTGCTCTCAGCCCCAGATGCCCTTGGAAGGATATGCCCCTCCATTCAAGTTAGTCATAAATGCCTCCCTTGTCGGCATAGTCGGAATGTTCCAATTGCGTCACCATAATAAAAATAATTGTCCTCTGATAGCAGCCGGTTAGGCAGAGAAGAAGGAGCGCGTGGCAAAAAGAAGAGCACATTTATTAGTTGAAAAAAAGGTGTGCACTGGAACCTAATGGGTCAACAGTTAACACGCAATTCTTTTGTATCGATTTTGATCGCTCCTAAGAAGTGCCAATCAGCACTGTACATCGCACAAAACCGACTGAACGTTCGTCCTTGTCAGATCAATTTTGGCCACCCATTATGTTCAGAGGATGTGTATTTGATCTATTCCACGCCCTGCGCGGTGACGCACCAATCGATCTTTTATCACTATCACCATCACAATAACCAATCGATCCCACCAAACAAGCTTGATACCAGGCTACAAACTTCGGATGAGTGGTCCATCTAGGTGGGCATAGTGAGATCCGATCCAGGACCCCATTATGCCTAGCTACACTCTGTATCCCTAGAATGGGAAGGGCGTGGGTGCGTACTAACCATAAGCTTTAACAAGGCGGCGGCTACGCTTTTGGTGGGATATCGTTGTTATGGGAGAGTTAGAATCATGCCTTTGCTAGCGAAAGACAGGATAACACCTGTCTAAAGTGAAAATATTCCATGAAAAGCGGATCCCACGCCATGTTCGAATGAAATGCCCAGCCACGCCCACCACATCTCCCAGACATGAAGTTGATACATGAGCTGGTACAGCCGCATCAGAGCACATCACCCCCTTGGAGTTCGAATCAGGGATTTGGCTGAGCGAAAATTTGAGTTTCTTCCTTTATTATTTTGTCTGCTGTTTTTCCCCAGACGCTTCTTGTCACTCAATATGTTGATCGTGTGCTGTTCCGCGCCGTTCTCCGCTGACGTATTTGAGAGGAAGGGATGGGGG